ATATATATATATATATATATATGGAAAGAGAGCGCTAAATATTTATTCATAATATATATAATTTCATTATGGTGAAAAAGACAAAACCCACCTTAAAATTTGTACAAAAATATAAAATAGAAACTAAACTGCATGTATTCTTTTTTGTACTTCTACGAAATTCATTACTAGAAATTGTTCGTCATATATTTGGAACGTAATTGTTAAACATAATCATTAATATTTATTCTTTCAAAAAGAGCAACAAAATAATATCGTAGTAGTATCGCGAGTTACCAATATTACTTTGTATAGACATTTTAACTTAGAGAATAAATGGAATGATGGCTTTACGATTTCTTGGATAGTCCGGAAATTCTTTCTTGTATGCTCTATGTTTGCCCAGTGCCCATACAGTCATCTGATATGCACCAGCAAGTGTGAAAAGACCAGCTAAAAATTGAAAAATATTATACAACTGTTTTGTTTGCATTAAAGATTGAAGTATTTGTGCACAGACGTACCTGGAAGACATGATGTCATTAAAGTAAAGCTAATCCAACTGGCTATCTCATATGTGTAATTGGGACAGGAAACAAGTTTAAAAAGAGCAGTGAAGGGATTATCTGTCGGCATCGGTATTTTCCTAATTGTGGTGCCCGGTGGTCGCAAGTTCCTCAGAGCTAAGTGGATACTGAGATTACCCAGCTCATACACTACGAATGTCACTGCTCCAATGTAGACTTGAACAGAGCAGGGAGCTGTGTATAACGGATGATTGATGTGATATGCCACATACATAGTAAAGAGCCAATAATAAGAGCAATTTTTGAATAAATTACGCAACGGCATCGTTGCATGACTAAAACGGTGGACAAAGACAGTCTCCAGAAGACGTTTTGCATAATGTACTGTCCAGCCAATTGCTGCCCAGCTAAAAAGAAAAAAAAATCGTTTATACATAATGTCACAAATAAAATAGTTATAAATCATACTTCTAATAATTATTTAGTAATTATATAATTAAATAAAATTACTCACTTAACTACATAGTGATAATTACTGGTGTCCACGTTTCCGTAAAATAGCCAGGGACGCTGATACAGCCAAAGATATATTACCAAAGGTCCTGCATATTCTAGTAAGAAAACAGTCTTCCAACCAATTTGAGGACCAAGATCCTTGTAATACAATTTTCCATCTGCTTTTAGTGAAAGAGACTTAACTGTCTCCGAGTCAGACAATGCTTTTCCTTTGGCCTCCAATCTCAGACTCTGCCTTTCGACATATGGCGCTTTCTTTAATTTTTGCAATTGCTGTTTCATCTCTCCTATTGTAGTGCTTGGATTTACCTACAATGTAAATTATACATTATGCCTGAAGCTAATGTAAATAGACTATGAGCAATTTATGATTTCAAAAAAATCACTATGCTGGTAATACAAATAGTAAATAACAAATAGCAATTATTCTAATAATAAATTCTATACATTCACATTATTCATAAATCTCATATAAATAGTAAGTTACAAATTACGAATCATGAGAATAGTGATTGCTAAGCTTAACAAAATTCAGTTGCAGGTTTCAGACTTTTGTAAAGGTTACAGATAACATTTTCGCGAATTTTGTAATCGAATGTCAATCCCGGCTCTACAATCAAAGTCGCTGATTAATCGCCGCTACTTGCGCTTCACTCACATTCACATTGGCTATCAGCTTGGAGGATTTCGCTGACAGGACTTCGATCTGAAAAAAAACGAGAAAAATAAATAAGTACGTAGACTCGTGCGTCGTTAATCTGTAGAATTGTTCGCACGACAATGATTTCGCGATATATTTTTACCTCCATCTTCGTTGATACGAGTAATTCCTTTGCTAAAACACCGCAGTTCCTCCGAATTGCAATATCACTCTGCTCTCATTCCCTCACCGCTACCTCCACCACTGCTCTCGAACTTCGAGCTTACTATCCGGGGCAACTTCATTCGGCTAGCGTCGTGTGGCGCCGCACACGCGGTCACGTGACTTTTTTATTTTTCAATGATCAGCAGATTCCCGGCGAACTGCGCGAAAACGCGATAATAACGTAAAATTCAGGCGATAACCCGAATGTTGTTAAAGAAGAAAAAAATATAAAATAAATAAATTGAATATAAAATGAATGAATTCGACGATCTGATTTCTTGTGATTATTGTCGACACTTATAAATGCAATTATCGTGGCTCGGAATCGAGCATGCAAAAACGAAAGATTCGTAACATAAATATACACGAAATTTGCATAGCATATGCATAATTTTATCATAGAATGACGCGATACATGGAATGACGCGCAGGTATGTAAACGAAATTCTAAAAAAAAACGAAATAAACGCGAATAATTTTTTTTATCGCCTCTGTTTAAACCTGTCCCCTTCCTGCCTACATGTGACGTGATCATGATCTTTATAAACGCAGCATCACGATATCGCATGACATGTAATAATAATAATATATTATAAAATAATTCATGTATGCTAGGATATAATACATAATAGCATAGAATTGTATAATTTTTTAATTTCTATCGTTTTTTCAAAAAAATAAATAACACAATTTTGTTAATAGTTAATTAATTAGTCTGTGATTTAGGTTCTTTTACTATATAAGAAAGAAAACACTTAATACATATTCTTAAAGATAGCTATCTTGTTACTTAATATATAGCTAGATATAAGATAAATTCAAAGTCACCTGATTGATTTATTTAATTAAGCGATGTCGCGTGATGTAAACCTTTGAACTGTTTTATGTTAATAAGCCGATTATACACTGCTATATTTTTTGAAGGCTCGGTGATCATTTATGCTGTTTCATCATGTATAAGCAAGATACTTATGAAACTGATAAGCAAATTACAATCGATGATCCATAACCAGCATAATCTTAAATAAACAAAGAGATATTTTTTAAAACTTTCTTTTGTTTTATGTTTTAACTTTTTTATCATCTAATTCTTTACGAAAAAAAAATCTTTTATGGATCTGAAATATTTTATACAACGTTAGAGAAATATTTAAGAAAAGCTAATTAATGGCCAAGAATCAGCGATTTTATACTATTTTTGTATTTACTGGTAACTATCCAATAATTGAGTAAAAAATTTTAATAATAAAATATTGATCAGCGATTAGCTAATTTCTGACTGCCTAATAAAACACATAATATTCATGACCATTTTCTGGCTAATAACCAACTAGAAATTAATCAGGTCAAAAAATGGTGATCAGTAAATTTTAGCGAGTTTCTGACCAGTAAGTAGAATATATCGCAAAAAATTTATTAGAATGGAAAGGAAAAGGAAGAGAGAGAAAGCAACATTACCGACAAGAAATAACTATATTGTCGGTATTATCAACCACGTAATCGCTTAAGTTGTAATTTCTTGTATTCTATCACAGAAAGCGCATTGTGTATCATATATGTACATTTGTGAATTGCAAATATAATACAAAATATACAATCTTTATGAAGTAGGTCCTCTTTTTTGATTTGAAAAAAAAAAAATAAGTAGAATTCTCGAAGAATTTTATTTAAAATTCTTAATCGATTTTATAAAGAATTCAATTAAAATGATTAAAATATTATTCGAGAGGACCAATCTCATAATTTCAAAAAGCCATAAATTTTTTATTTTCAATTTTAGCTTTTTAGTTATGATTAAAGATCTAGAACTTGGAAAATTTCATAAGTGTAATTTTCAAAGTATAAATATTTTTTTATACGTTGTTTAGAAGATATACAACTGTTACTATTAAAATGAGACACTATGCTCGTGGAATATCTGCTGATCAGCTGATCGGTATCTGATAATTGGCGCCATTCTTGTCTATCTTCTGTATCTGATTCATAATACACAAATATTTCTGCAATTAAGAGCGCAATTACAAAGTAAAAACAAGTAAAACAAGTAAAAAAATATATGTCAAAATGTTTAATTGTTATCATAATACAGTAAACTGAGCAAATCGGAGATTAAAAGTCAAATAACTCTTATTTTATATTAACCTCTATTTATTTATTTCAATATTGAAAGTTCTACAACAAAAAAACACATTCTATTTAAAAATTATTTTTATATTAATGTATTTTGCAAGAATTTTTGTCATGTATTTTGTCGCTTCACAATTCAACATGTCTACAGTAAATCAGTAGAAGTCTTAATTATCATAGAATTACCTAACATAAGAAAAATAATATTACAGATATATATATATATATATATATATATACA